ACATTAGAGTCAATCCAAATGAAAACACCAAAAATGAATTTGAAAGTGCGCTGCATGATTTTTTATTGTAATGAAAAAAATTGAGGATGATCTTTTAGGTGTCAAACACTCCGTCATTTATTACACTTGCAAACTTTTTGAAATCACAACTTAAATACGCACAAATAAAATTTATGAAATATTTTTGACAGTTCTGACATTTCTCTAACAAACATGAATTAACAAAGTCAAAGCCATCTAAATTTATAAATAAAACTAACAATATCGCTACTAAACGGGCATTAAAAAAATTAATATATCTTTTAAAGGAATAAAAATAACAAAACAAGACTAACTGGACTGAAAAGATGAAGGTGGGGACTACATTTCCTGAAAGTTTCAGATTTTTATTTTTTCCTCAACATAATGATTTCCGAGGGCAAAATTGGCTAATTTTGAGAATTATCAATTTTCAATAATTTTTTTAATAAAGAAATTGATAGTCTAGAAACTTAAAATAATAGTTTTCTATTATATAAGTACTTTATACCTGAAAAAAATGAACCTTCTAAATTCAGTAGAATAGGCACAGGAGCCAGACAAAAATCACAAAAATTGGCAAATTATCATGAATCTTTAGTGGTTTACCATTCTTTTATGAGATTAACTAATTGGATAATAATAATTTATATCGAAAACACACTTACTGGATAGTAAAACAAAATTAAAATTATTTCAATATTTGTCACAGCAAAAAAGTTCTGGCCCACTATAAGAGAGTAAGAAATTTACACTATTTCAGACTTCTAAGGGGTGCCAAATAAAAGTAAAGCAACAAAAAATTAAAACGGCAACGGATTTTCATATTTGACACCTAAAAGATCATCCTCAAATTTTTTCATCAAAATAAAAAATCACGCAGCGCACCCCATTTGGTGTTTTTATTTGGAATGACTCATTAAGTAAGTATTATTTTACAAGAAATTTCTTGCCTTAAGGCACTTTATATTAACGATTGTATGACATTTGACAACTGTCTAACTTAAAACTAACTTTAACCCGTGACTATAGAAACCAGCCCGTGACTAAATCGCCATAAAGCCACAACTTGTCAATGTGTATTTAAAAGGGCACTTTGTGTCATGGAAACATGTACAATAATGGGCGTTTTAAAGGAGGGAGTAGAAAATAAATCTTGTACTATACTTTATAGATGATTACGCCCATCGAGCGATATCCATCCCTCGGGCCATAGCTATGCATAGGCCCGGGCGTAGGTAATCATATTAAAAACACTCTTGGTGCATAAATAGCTAAAAATTTGTGCAGTAAAGGACATTTCACGAACATAATGTTTTCTTTATATTTTTATTAATTTTTAAACTGTGGGATACATTTTTCCAAAATATATTGTAATATTTTCAATACTAGTTACTATTTTTTTTTTTTTTTTTATATAAAAACTGGCGACACATACCTAGTATACTAGGCCGGTTATAACCATTTTGTCAACTAAATTCAGGCCATGTATATTGATTGAAATTTTAATATCACATTCTCTCCATGTCTAGCTATCCACAGCTTTATTTAATTTGAAATAACAAAGATAATCCATTTCAGTGCATTAAAGCTTTTTCTGTTTTTTTATATAGAAAATATTTATTTTGCTGTATTATTAATAGAAGCGCGCTGTTAAGATGTAAATTTTTAAAAAGCTTTCTACTTTGAGCGTTATATTATTTAAAGAATATAGATTTTCATTTACGTTAATGGATGTGGGGATGTAAATATTAAATAATACATACTTATATTATTAAAACAAGAAGTCAGTCTTTTTGTGCAGAGTTTAAAGTTTGAATAAAGCACAAAAATACTTTCTGAGTCGAATGGCCCAAGTATCCTTGTTATTCGTAATGTTTTTCTAAATTATAGATTTTTTTTTTGTTAAACCATAAATTATTTATGGTATACGCTAAAGAAGCATCGCTAGTAGCGCCACCACTTAGCTATTGTAATCGTAACAAAACAACAACTTTTAATAATCAGCTGTCAAACGCGTATGTTACAAACGAGTGTTTTTGAGAATAAACCCGAAAAATATAGAAAAAAAAACCGTGCACGATTTGTTGTGTTGTTGGGTGTTTTTCGAGAGGAAACACATTTTAGTAATGATTAACGTGAAATGTGTAAACATTTTAGTAAAAATCGCATTTAGCATCATTTAAAACGTTGATTAAGAAAGTCTTCACTCAACGGTAACAGAAGAAGAAGAAAACCATACTCAAATATAAAAATGTATGATTTTAAGGTTATGTTTGTGCAACAATTATTTTTTATTAATTTCTTCAAAATGTCCAAACTTAAATATAAATTATACTAGGTAAAATTTTCATTAGTTAATTCTGCACCAACAAATATACTTTGGCAAAATATTCAACGAATTAGCTCTTGAATTTTATTTACATTTAAAAACACAATAATTTACCATGATCACTTAGATAAAATACACACACTAACGTAACTATATAAGCGTTGAGTTTCTTAATGAATGATATAAGGAATAATTAATCGAAATCGAGTACTAAACCAAAGTTTTGTAGTTTTTACTTGCAATGCAAATTAGCAATGCGATTTAGCTGTGCAATTGAATAAAATTTGTCGAGTAAGACTTCTGCCTTCCTCTCTTTTGTGAAAAAACTACTTATTTATTTAAAATGATGTGCAGTTCGTAGTCTTTAAATGCATTGTTGACAATTCTTAAATTCACAAAATGCTATCGAACTTCACCAGATGGCGCGCGCGTTAAGAAGACCCGATGCTTCTTTAGCGTATACAGTGACGTTAAAACTGTTTGACAGAAGGCGAATTTTATGATTTGTCAAAAACTAATTACAGGCCCAAAATGATTTGTTATTTGCCTATATCATAATAAATCACTTGTGTCGAGTATTGACGACAATAACGTTTAATTTATGAACCGCTTGAAGATAAAATTTGTTATTATTTATTTTACAATGTTATAAAAATCAGATTTGTTAACATGTTTATTTTATTTTTTTAAATTTAAACATAATTTTTGTAGAAAACCAGGGTTTGTAATCATTTTAGCAAAGGAAAATATTTTGCCGAAAGTTTTGTAAAGGTAATATGCAATTTTGTAAGCATTTTGTTAATTTCAAAGGTTATAGATTATTTTGTTAATGTTTAACAAAATATTTCGTTATAAAAGTACACGTGATTTTAAGCATTCAATTAAAACATTTCCCACTGATAAAACGCATCAACAAGTTTAACTGACTTCAGCGTCTGCAACTTATGTTTCTGCTTACTTTATTCTTTTTCGTAACGTGTTTATAACAAGTGTCCAGAGTGTATAATATATTACCAGAAATCTGTTATTATCATTATTCGGATTCCTTATACCTATTTAACGAGTGTGCGAAGTGCGTATTATCCGAAAAAAGATGCCATCACTGGTTTTCAAACTGAAATTAGGGGATAAAGTAAAGTGCGTTAAAGTTACGAAATACATTAGTAAGTGTTGTAGTAGTACTGATATAGTATATTACACTACAAGGGCATCATGGCGCGCAGTTCAGGGCTCTCACACTTTCTGCCCGTGTAGTGTATACTATTTTTCTTGCTACCCGGCAGAAAATACGGGAAAAAATTAAATGTGTATAAAAAACTTGTGTCAAAATTAAAATCTGACGTTTAATTTAATTCTGACGTTTACATTCAAAATCAATCAAACTGTAGCGGTGTCATGGTAGCGGGAGGAAATGAAACTTTTCTTACTACCTCGGCCGAAAATACGTATAGCCTTGACCAATGCATAAAACGTAAACTTTCTGGCGTGGAATCGGGGATGAAACAACGTTTTTTCTGCCGGGTAGCAAGAAAATTATATTGTACCAAATTTGTTTATATTTTTGATTTCAGAATGGAATTTAATTGTGTGTATGTTATTTTTGTGTTCATTTATGTAGGTATGTGTTAATTCTTTTGTTTAGGAAATTGATTGATAAAGCAACATTTTTTATTAAAATTATTTTCGTTTAAGTTCTCAATTTTCCAACAAATACTTTTGTCACTGGGTCTACCAAAGGTTTGTAAAAATAAGGTCCTTTTTAAAAATTATAAGAATTATGGTTGTTATTAAGCTGGTTCAAAAAAATCAACTATTTTTTTCCTGAATTTTCGCACTTAATTTTAATATTTAGAGGTCGCGCATCGATAATTTTTATTTTCCATTTAAATAACATGGGAAATTTTGTTTTGTTTCTTTATAATTTTCTAGCTTACAAACTAATTAACAGATTTTTATGCGCAATATATATTCTTCTGGAAAATTGAACGCTCTACATTATCATTTTTCGATAAACCAACAAGTTCAAAAGTTATTCAAAGTCGAAGTTAAATATATGTCATAACTGCATTTTTTACTTAAATTTTAGGCAAAGTCATAAGTTAGTTATTTTCAAATATAAAAAAAATCATTCAAAAATCAAAATTACGATGTTCAATAAGCCTTTTAAATCAATTCCACTGAAACACCTACTATTTTTGGAAAGAATTCATTAAAATTCTTTTTGATTGATTAAAATCCTTTTTTATTGATTTAAATCCTTTTTAATGAATTCTTTCCAGTAATAGTATGTTTCAGTGGATTCTTGATTTTTGATAATAACTTTAATGAGTTTGCCTAAAATTTAAGTAAAAAATGCAAATGGGAAATAGAAATTCTCGATGCGCGACCTCTAAATATTAAAATTAAGAGCTCCGGTTTTCACAGGCGTCTTTTTTTGGTACCGTGAAGATATTTCAGTGCGAAATTTCAGGAAAAAAATAGTTGATTTTTTTGAACCAGCCTACTGTATATACTACAGTATATATTACAGTTGGTTGTAAACTTAACTTAAAGTTATGTAGACCTGAATTAACATAAAATCTGGTTAATATTTGGTTAAAATTAACAAATATTTTTGTACTGTGTACTAAAATTTACTTTTTTTTTACAGTTACGTTTGCCGAGCAAAATGAAAATGACACTAGCGAGGAGGTGAGTTTCATAGTTAATTTTTTCAGTATACAAAAATTAAGGTTTTGCCCGACATTCATAAAAGCTGTTTATATGTGTATAGCCAATTCTGTAGAAACGGTTGATCGTTTGTACCAATATTGAGGTTACATTTTAAAGTACATTTTCTTTGGAATAAATTTAAGAACCAATTATGTATTTATTTTAAATAATTAATTTAATAATGACTAATTGTTATAGCAAAAAAGCCGCCACTAATGATTCTCGTCAACAGCAATTTGTATCCCGGACATTTAGCGGTCATTTCCCATGTAAAATTGCCTGCTGAATCAAAAAATGTCCTCAAAAGTTATAAAAGTAGAACAGTCTTTAGGATAGTCAACTTTCCGTTTAAAATGGTATTGACTATATCTCGCTTTACTTTCATTATTTTTGACGGTATTTTCTGATTAAGGGGATAGTGTTACATAAGAATTGACTTAAATATCTGTGATACAATTTTCACTATGAAAACTAGTCATTTTTAAATAATTCATTTTTAGAGTGTAGAGTTCATGATCTTAATTTATTAAATTAAGAAAAAAATTAATACTATGTATTAATTACTAGTATTATGAAAATGTTCAAAACTTGTTTTAAGTTTCACCTTTTAAAGACGTACATTTTTAGATAGGTTTTGATTAGTAAAATCTTGTTTCAAAACCCCTTCCAAAATTTCCTACATCAAATACCAGTACAGAGCTGCGGCAGTGGCCATTTAAGTGGTATATTATTCGATTCAGGGTCTTGATGTAACTTATCATGATGTTAATACTTCTGAATTAATCTGCTACTGGTGGAATCACTAAATTAAAGAAAGTTCGGTTTGACAGCATTTCGCAAACTAAACCTTGTTTCTTGTCTGGTGACTTTTTTAAAATTTCCAGTTAATATAGGTCATCAGCATTAATATTGTTTCTTAATTATTAAATTAAGTTCTGATTGTCCACCATTAATATGGGAAAATTTATTATTTTGTAAAGTAGTATTTTATGCCCTTTTCCAAGAAAATACATAAAATGAAACGTTTTAAATGTGGGCCTTTAATAGAAAATAAAACTTTATGTTTAGCACTATCGAAAAACTATAACATTTTTAATAAAAATGTAATACTTGGTTGGCCGATAAACATTTTTATTAAGATTTTATTGCAAATGTAAAAAAATTATTTTGTTGTTGGAATTACAGTTTAAACGATAATCCTAATTAGGAAAGATTCACATTCATTTTATTTCAAACTAAACATTTTCAAACTGGGCCAAAAAAATCGACCATTTTTTTTTGTAAAGTATATCAAAAATATTGTTTGGGGTGACAAAAAAAATATGGTGAAAGTTTGAGTCCATAATATTAATATTAAGAGGTCTATCATCGCAATTTTAGATTTTTTTTCCTGAGCGAGTTTTTCTCTCAGAACTCCCAAACCATTGAGTTTAACAAAATTGACTTGGGAATATTTTTTGAAGAAAATTGAATGTTCTACAAAAAAGATTAAATTAGAATTTCCTGTCAGATGAACCGTTTTCTTACAATCATGCCTTAAAAATTGGTATAGTTTTACAATTTGATCTTTTACTTTTGGAATTTTGTAATTCATGTAAAAATCAGTTCCCGGAAAAAAAAAACGATAGATATTCTTTTGGGAAATCAAATGCTCTAAAAAAAGTTCCTTAATATTTTTGGCTAAATTCACTCCATCAAAAGTTATGCAAGGTTAAATTTGAAGTCAAAACGAAATTCTTGTTTTTTCGCTCTAGATTTTTTTTGGGTCAGTTAAAAACTTGAATTCTTTTATCGATGATAATCTTTATGTTATTGATAAAATTACTGTAAATTAAAAAAAATAACACATTAGAGGTTTTACGCTTTAAGAAGCTATTTTCTTTAGAAAATATTATTTTCACTATTACCTATTTAATCGTTTAAATAATAACAATCATGTTATTTTTTTATTGGAACTTTAACCTTGAATAACTTTTGATTTAGTGAATTTACCCAAAATGTTAAGAAGCTTTTTTGTAAAGCATTTGATTTCCCATAAGAATATTCATCGTTTTTCTGGGTACTGATTTTTACATGAATTACAAAATTCCAAAGTTAAAAGATCAAAATGTAAAACTATACCAATTTTTAAGGCATGATTTTAAGGAAACGGTTCATCTGACGGAAAATTTCATTTTAAACTTTTTTGTAGAGCATTTAATTTTCTTAAAAAATATTTGAGTCAATTTTGTTAAACTCAATAGTTTAGAAGTTCTGAGACAAAAACTTGCTGAGGAAAAAAAATCTAAAATTGCTATGATAGACCTCTTAATTTTAATATTATGGACTCAAACTTTCACAATAATTTTTTTTTGTCACCCCAAACCATATTTTCGATATAATTTTCAAAAAAAAATAGTTGATTTTTTTGGCCCAGTCTAATATACATATATATGTATTAAATACATATATAAGATTGTAATTTGGATTTTAAATTGTTTAATAAATCGACGTGTATCCATCAAAGTTTTGTATATTTAAATAATACAATTTACCAATACAGTAAAATTTATTGCTTGTTCCTTTTTTGTGAATTTTGTGGAATTTAACTTAAGTTTAGCTTAAATTATTTAAGCGATTTTATTTTAATTTTGGTCGGTTCCCCCTATACTCTATGAATGCAATTTCAGACACATATGCAATATAGGGAAGGTATGCGGTATTCGAGAAATGTGCGAAATTCGCTTACAATTTTGTGTATTTAAAAAATGCATGACTCCATTTGGAATCAATGGCAGGCCGGGCAATAATGCCATATGGCATTTTCGGATGGAGGTTAAAAGCAACTTAAATAAATCTCGAATCTGGATAAATAAGTATGAAAAATATAAAAGGCACGGCGCGATTTGGCGCATACGATTTTTATGGACGTATTTAAATCCAGATGCAACCAATAAAGGCTCTGTCATAAAAGGTGATAAATCGATTGGCTGAGTTGCTATAGAAAAGTTGACTTGTAACAAACACGACAGCATCAAAATTTAAAAGTCAATTTAACATTTTGCATGTAAATATTGGGCTCTTTCTTGTACGTTTTGACATGATTAAATTTACAAGTAAAATATACAAAGGATATTTAATTTTATAATGTAAAATTATATGTAGGTAACTCGATATATTTTATAAAGGGCTTTTAACTAAAAACTAGGCACCCTTCATAACTTTGAGTTATAGTAAATATGATATTGAGCAAGAATTGACTTGTTAGATATCGAAAAAAAAACTGTTTTATTTCCTTTGTTTTAATTTACCTTTAGCAGAGTTTTTACACGTTTTAGTTATTAGTATTTGTATTCATACCTACCCAAGTATTAAAAAAATGGTGTATACTTTAGCAGAAAGAACCGAATTAATTTTTATTTACGGATTTGTTTCCTGAGCTCGTAGAACCGCACGCGTTTTTAATGAGAGGCAAAAATGTAGGCGGGTGAATCCCGCGAAATGTCCCCCGATGGTGTTACCCCGTGATATTTAATAAAACTAAATGAGTTTGACCTACACTTTTATTGTGTTTTGATAAAAACCTCTGTTTACGTCATTGCATGCATGTAATTCCTGAAGGCCAGTTAGAATTTATATGCAGATGAGAGTATTGCTGTTTTATAATTCAAAAGTTTAAGTTCATTAATTTGCTATTTAAAAACCTATCAACCGTGAAGTGTAATATCTCAGTAAGTAGATTTTTTTTATAAATATTTTATGTACCTATGTACAATTGTATTTTTTTAAAATATTAAAGTGTCAAAAGATACACTAACTAATTTCAAATATACAAAGGGATGTATTAAAAAAACATACGAAATCCTAACCTCCGTGAAGCTATCTAATATTCAAAATTTATGATTTTTTTAAATTCTTGCATTAGTGCAGAACCACTTAAGCATGATGCTTATTGCTTAATTTTTTGCTTTTTTTAAGGTTTTATGCTTTTTTTCGATTTCGTGCTTATTTAAACTTTTTTCCATATTTTTATACATTTTTTTTAATTAATTGTTTCGACTTTTACTTGATGAAAGTCCATGTTAATAATATGTTAATATAAACTACACTGTTTAATTCTAACTTCAAAATCTTACATATAGAAAACAAAAGTATGAAACTAAATTTAGTCTATGGAAATTAACAAATTAAAGGAAAAAAACTGATATTATTCTCAATGACCAAATTGTTACCAATAATTCCCCGTTATTAAATTTATTTTAATATATTCAAATAGTTTAGTGTTATATAACTATAAAGATTACAGGGCATTCCCATAATTATTGTTCCTTTAATCTACCCCCAATATTGTACTAAAAATGTTACCTGTTAAAACCATCATTTATATAAATAGTAAATTAATATAAGTTAGTATTCGATCTGAAGAAGCTACTGTGTAGCGTGCTTTTTAATGTTTAGTTAAGATACACGATACGCTACGGGGTTCTATTATTGTGCTTGCGCTTTATTTAGACAATGCCAAAACAAAAGCCAACCATTGAAGAGTGGATTAGTGGTCACAAGGAACTAAAAATTGACAATAAAAAGGTCTTTTGTCAAGCATGTTCTAAAACTGTAAGTAAAATTATAGTATTTATTTATTGTTAAAAATTACTGATTTTATTTTATGGTTTTGAAGAGATTTCCTTTTTGACTTAAATTGAATTACTTTATTAAAGTAATTCAATTTAAGTCAAAAAGGAAATCTCTTAAAGGTATAAATGAAAATTTTAAGGATGAAATAAAATAAATTAAATAAAATACAACTTTTAATTTCTAAAATATTATTCGACTTTACATTCTACTTTCTCAACCCAATACTGTGTAAGCGTTCACACCCCCCCCAGCAAAGAATCTGTAAAAGTTACAACCCAAGTGATAAATGAAATATAACACCACGGCAAATGTTATATTAAATTACGACAAATAAATAAAATAAATACTTACGGTAATAAAGCTCA